TCGCATACTTTGTTATTTCCAACAAAATGTACGTGGTATCATGGCTCCTCATTAAAACTTTCGCCTGGCTGAAATATAAACACTTGTATGGTTTCTTTGACGTCTTTTTTTCTGATCATATTTTGTTGGTTTTTTTATTTCAGTTTTCTGCCGATCTTGTTATTTAGAAACAAAAATGCCATACACGACAGGCAAATTTGTTTTGAGTTTAAACCGAGCGACAGGTTTTGTCAGGATTCACTGTAACAACTTACACTTTAGTATTACTGAAAGTATCAACAGAGACACAATAAAAAGGCGTGCAGTTGTTGATTGCAATGAACTCGGGGGGAAAATGACGTCATATTTGCGTGATTTCCTTTCTACATTTTATGTTAATGATTTATCACAGATTAGTACGCCTTTTGTTTCAAATGTTTACCCGCGACACGCATCCAATGAAAAGAACATGATTCGTTTCCTAACCGTCTTTTTTAGTAACTGTGGTGCTACTGTGTGCAGGCAATTGTGGCTTTTTTGTTCCTGGGTGTGAATATGCAAATTGATCTCTGTTCATTGTTGTATGGTCAAAATGGTTTTATACTGCCTCACAAAATGCACAAAGATAACAGTATTTTAGGAATTTCAGTATGATTTGTGATTTATTGCTAAACTTCTGGTTTATAAAATAATTTTGGAATTGATTTTAAGCAAATTTGTTTATATGAATATAGTGCACCGAGAAGCCACAGTCACACTGACCGAGAGTTAATTAGAATGACCTGGATTTCAGTCTCGGGCAATACAGAGACTAATATTATATAATAATATACATGTATATGCATATTTGTGTACAGGCAGTGGCTTTACAGTATTTTGGAGACTACCATACATTTCCATTTTTTCCCCTTTTACTCAAAAAAAGAAATACATCACTGTAATGATGAAGCACTTACCCTTTCTGGAATATATCTTCTTCTTTCTGGTCAGATTTCTTCTTGTCAACTAATGACGAAGGTGATGCTGGGGGTGATTGACTATTACTTCTTCTTACAGCACTTGTTGCTGTACCAAAACTAATCCTTTGTCTTGGTGAAGTTGAACTAGAAGAGCATGGCAAAAGCATGTTTTGTACATTTATTTTTTAAGTTGCTGTTTGTTATTCTGCACAATGTACATTAATTAATTTATATTAAAACTGAAAGTTGAATTGAGATTTTGGGGTTGGTGTATTAGGCCAAAAAAAATTGTTTTGTTGCCCTCAGCGACCAACCGAAAAATATGAAATATCGGGTCACAATTTTTTTTTTTTTTTTTTTAATAAGCCCAAATATTAAAAACTCACCATTTTAAGCAGTAAAAAAGTGTTTCCTCTAAAAATTAACTATCCCGGACTGTTGTTTGACCCCCAGGGTTCCTGTGGGGATAAGTGGCTACTTTGAACCTCCGGTTGATCTGTATTTCTCTTGAAACAAATCTGACTGACTGACCCAATTTTTAAATTTTCCGACTTGAGGGCAACATCAATTTTTTTTTGGCCTTACAGTGTTTACCGGTATACCATTGGATATAAATTGGCAATTTTATAATTTCGTGATGGGGCTAATTTTTCATTAACTGTGAGATCTTGTGTAAAGATTTGATTTTAAACTTGAATTTTTTTTTTTTGTTACTACAATGTTGAAGGCCAATCTTTCAGATAAGAATATGGCGTTAGAATACATTTTCATTAAAATTAATATCATCAAATGCGTATAGCAAATTACTAGGCATGAAAATACTCAAAAATTATTTTAAATTTGTGTTTGTTGAATCTCACCCGATGTAATGATGGCAATACATCATATAAGTTCCTTTGTCCTGTTTTACATTGGAATTTAAACATAACGTTGGATCTCACGGTGAACCGAAAATGGGCTGTTGACTGATGGAAAAATCCATACAATAAACAGATAGAAATGAACATTTCAACATGGGAAAACTGTCCTTACTTGAAGTCTAAGGTGAAATAAATTATTGCATAGAACGAATGTCATGACATACCTTTTAGAAGAGCCATTCGAAACTCCTTCATCTTCTTCAGGAAGACTACTTTTTCTTTCTAATGACTGTTTAGCATCAGTTGCAACTGATGCCCTGCGAGCTCCCTGTAACAGCCCTGTCACTTTATTCCTTAGTGTTGTAGCAGCTATTGCCTGTGTAAATCTACCACGTGCATCCTGAACATAAACAGTGATGAATTTTCATTAGTTGACATGGTTGATTAAACAGCTTAAACATCAACAGTACTTACCTTATCCGAGTCTAATTATAAACACTACACAATATTCAATGTAGATGATGTGATACATTTGACTGCCGTGTCTGCTCCATTAGTAACCCATGTGCTTACATTTACAACATCAGTGTGACTATGGCCAAACACAGTTAATATTAGAATGATCCAGTATACAATAAATGCAACTGATGGTTTGCAAGCACTGAAGATGTACCTCTAATAGAGCAAATACAGTATATGTCTGTCACAGTTACAGCGAACACAAACAAGATTTGTAAAGTAACTTGAGAGGTTGAAGCATAAACAAATAAGATTCATACAGATGGTATAGTCACAACAATGTTAAAATATTAAAACAGACAACAACTTAGCCATAGTATGTACCTCGTCCTCAAATCATGTAGCGCCAGGGAAGGAGATTGTCACAAAATGTAGCAAATGGTTTTTATAACATTAAATCATTTGATAACACCAATAAGAAAGTAATATTGCAATGTTCACAGGAACTCTTCAAACTCCCTGTATGAATCTTGTTTGGGTCCATTGTAATTGACAGTACCGGTAAAAGTATTATTTGTGTGAATTACATATGTACTTTTAAATGCTTTACATTACAAAACACGCAAGAAATGACAAAACATATACACAATAATATACAGCCCATACAACAGTTACATGAGATCATTATTGACAAAGGTTAAAATGTTTCTGAGATTTAAACATACTTCAATTTAACTATTACGATAGGTGACATAACCATCATGAAAAGTGTTCAGATTTCATGAAATTTTGTGCAAAAATACCTGCTACTGAAAGAGATACGAACAATCATACCATTAAAGATACACAGTTAAGAATACCAGTATTGTGAGTTGGGAAAGTACAGGGGTTTGGTAGGGATTAGGGATTGACAAAATCAAATGTGATCAAGTGGGGGAGAAATCAGATGTACTCAGCAGGGGAAATCAAAGGTATAGAGTGTGATAATTATAGATTATCAGAGAGGAGATATGGAGTATGAAAATGAAAGTTGTTCAATGGGGGGTCATTATAATTTTGTTGCATCTATAGGAAAATTTGAGTTTCTATCAGTCTATAGCAATGAAGAAAGTATTAAAAATGAGTACAAATAGTGGATAAGATAACATTATGTTTTTGATTTCACACTCAGAGTATTAAAAAGACACTGTGTATAAATTATCCTACAAGTCTGATTATATTGGTATCTGTGCCTTTTCAATGGATAGATTTGGTTGATTGTTCTGAACTTGGCTACCGAATTTTTTTGTTTTGGATTTAGTATTTCTCAAAATTGCATTTTACTTTCAGAATTTTTGTATCTTAAAGGGTTAAAATGATACATGTTCAGTAGAGTAAATCAGGTATTGTAGTAGAAAGCACCAAAGGGGAAATTTTTAAAATTTGTATGTTAATATTACATTATGTTAGTAGATGAAAAACAAATGTTATTAGAATGAATAACGAATATTTTCAATGAAGTTTCTCATGAATTAAAGCAGCACAATACAACCAAATATATGGCAAATATGTGTATCATACATTAAGTAAACTGATACATTTTTTTTTTTTATTTTGACTAAGTGTCTTGCTATGAGTATTTAAAATATTTCAGGATGCAAAAATCTTTAAATAGGTTATTATTTCTTCTCTGAAGTGAGATTATAGATTTTGAAAAATATTGATGATAACACATATTTTATGAATGTGATGAATTTACATAAAATTAATATCAACATAATTATGAAAATATAATGAATCACCTCATCTAAACTAAGAGACGACTGTATATGATCAGATCTACCACGACTAATATGGCTGAAAGGAAGCTACAGATTGAAGGGAAGAAGCAAATTAAAAGTGGTTAGAATAGCAGGCAAGTAAAGGTGTTAATAAAACTGTGATAAATAATATATACTTGTAGAGATTTCTTAGGGAAATGCAGTTATAAAAACGTAGGAAAGATACACAAAACAAAAGTTTCACTCATACTCATACTCATATGCACAACTTATCTTTGCATACAACCTACAGGTACAGCAGTAGAACATGCTCAAAAACTATCATTCCATTTTGATTTGGGTACGTCTGTGACTCGCACTATTATAAAGTGAAAGACTTGAATGATACTGCCCTATATCAGACTCAATAAGCAAGTATCCAGATAATGTTGCATTCTGAAATATCACTCTTAAATATGAAATAAATCCATTCCACTTGAAATGTATCAGTCATTGCACACAGTACACAATTGAATTTTGTTCAAACAATGTAGTTCATACAGCACACGACTCTGTGGTCTTTTAAATTTAAACCACAAAATTATGATGTACAACTAAAGCATAAAGCTTTTCGCACTATGTATGTAAAAAAAAAAAAAAAATGACATCACATATTCTTGCATTAGGGTCATACATTTATAACGTCTGTGTTGCTCTTTTATAGCAATCACATTGCTCATTGATTCGCATGCAAATCGTGCATTTTATCACCTTTACATTGCATCTAGATATAGGATATATTCACTACTGCTACACTGGATATCAAAATGTTTTTTGCCTAAGCTATATGCTTGCCCATACCTTCCAGCTATTATTAAAATATAAAATTAACATGGTTTAGCATGTCTATTCGATGAATGAGTAAATGTATAAATTCGTGACCCTTTAGCTAAAACGTATCATCAATGAACAGACACTATAAGTGAATTGGGTTCATGAGGTGATAAAAGAATTTTTTCAACCAAGCACTTAAACCTTGTGAACCATAAACAAGTTTGGATGAATTATCTAGCTTGTGCAGCCATAAAACAATGATACATGCATAAATGTTAGTAATTTCTCACCTCTTCTGTGTCGTCAGTTGTTAGTAATAATGTGCTATCAGATCTAGGTGATGATTGTACTATGAAAGGTGGTGATGCATAACATACGCTCTTACTACTCCTCAATGGGATGCGCTTTTTCCGTTGCTAAGCATGTTAAAAGTTTTCAACAAGGAATAAGTTGTTATTGAGTTATTATTCAACAAGTTTTTTTTTGTTTTCATAAAGTTTAAAGCCACGAAAAAATAATCCATTTGTAATATTATAAACCATAGTGTATCACTGATATCATTTTCCATTTAATAATTGATTTGTTAGAGAAATGCAAAATTCAAATGTGAATTTCATTTTGCTTTCTTCAACTGTACCAAGCAATTCTTCATAACAAGCAACCTGATGTTGGAAAATGCATTCAGACTAGTTTCAGAAAATAATGTGCCAAAAAAGTTGCTCATTAAATCATTCATATGGGCTGATAATATGTATACACTTAATTCTTCTTGTTGCGTGAAAGTATTTGCATTAATTTGGTGGGAAAACAAATTTTAAAAGTTTTGCCGATAATAAAATTTGTTTTCAACTTTTTTGGTAAAACCATTCTGCAAGCAAACTTGAGACTTCCATCTTAACTGAGCCAATGAGTACTAAATTAATATTATTATATGAATGATGCATAAATTGCCTTTTTCCTTAAAATCAAAGTCTTAGAATGTTTCCAAAATACATCAGAAAAATCTAACATAAACAGTCAATAATTAAAAGTTTTTGGTTTGCTCTACTAATATTGGTGCATAGGATTTCAAATGACAAATAAATGTGGTAAAAGTGAAACGAGTCATGATAGTGAATTAGATCAGTGTTCCCACCAATCATTTTCTCTTCATCTGAAAATTTTCAAAATTTCTCATTATTACTCAGTTCCTTAACTGTTTGTAGGCATGTAGAAGTTAGTTATATTAATGAGAGAAATTAATGGAAATAAAGGCCAATGAAAGTTGATTTCTGGATTTGCATTTGTTCCAAAAAATTTCTTATTTCTTTAGGATTTTCCATTTTATTGACCCTTTAAACACCATATTGTTTCATCAACAAATTTGACTGCAAAATTTTACAGTTTTTTATGTATTTTGTTTATACTTTCTTCATACTTTCATATTTCCAATTAGTCTTAATCAAAACTTCAGGAAAAGTATGAAAAGAGTTATTTATGCAGATTTATTTTGTGAAAAATAACAAACAGCAACTTTGGCATTCAAAGGGTTAACATGCCTTTTTAAATTAAAAATTGGGAAATTGAAGAATCAACTTACTTAGGCCTTAAATGTTCAAGGTGGAAGGGAGAAGGATATTAGTAAGTTGGTTTGTTAAGTCTCACCTCCATTAATTTGACAGGCAAATTATTTGAGAGGGCATCAATACTCATATTCGAATTCAGTGCTGGTCGACATGATGACTGTGACAGATAGTGGTAGTGATGACATGAGAGGAAATAAAATATTAGTAAAACTACATTATAAATAATGTTAATAATGAACGTGGAACTGGAGTACAGGCAGACAATCAATGCAATACTTTTTTAAACACTACTTTAGAAAATAATCAATAATGATGATCTAATATCTAATTTTAATTTTAATTAAATAGTTTTATAGAATAACTTCCAATAATTATTTTAAACTATCTGAAAGTAATAATCTGTTCTACTGAATATTTTATGAGAAGGTATAACAATTGCAAGTGATCGTAAATGTGTTTCATATATATATTATTGACAGTGTTCGGTCTGCAATATAATAATTATTGCCAAAGAATGTTTATTATAAGACAATTCACCAAGACGCAAAATTGTATGTGACAAGGGACCTTTTGAAATCAGCCATAGCAAAGTTGTGAAGCAGAAATCACAAATGTGCAACATTTTCAAAAATTATTATACGTTAGTTAAACGTTTTACGTAATCAAATCTTCATCAGACATCACTATACAGGCTTGCTGTATATAAATCATAATACAAAATTAAATAGTAGAATATTAATTCATTCAGGGACTATACTTGATATTTAACTTAAACTGTACTTTATAGTTACACAGTGGCAACAACTGTGACACTAACAATCACTTAGATTATGAAAACTTTTTAACATTATCACTATATCAACAAATTTTCAGTAATTACGCCATAACATGCAACTCAATCCATCAATTATTACACACATATACACAGTGTAGCAATGATACAAAGTCAGTTATATATATTAATATAGGGAGTAATGCTTATTTAGTATGTACAAATGTACAATCATACTGAACACTCGTCAACATATTAAGCAGCATAAGATCTATGATTTGATTTTCAGAAAATGCTGTAAATATACTAGGTTTGACATATCTAGATTTCAACCACACAACTTGATATGTTACAATATTAGCTTCATTTTTTTAGGCATCTACGTTATCTTTGAAAGTTTACACAATAAATAAATAAATAAATAAATAAATAAATAAATAAATAAATAAATAAATAAATAAATAAGCTGCACATCTTGTAGAGTCTGCATTCATCAATTGATGATGAAGTCTTGCGTGCCCACATAGAATGCATGGGCACCAACAACACTACATGCATATTACATCACACAATAGAAATAGAAAGCTCTTGACGCTTCAAACAATGAAATGCAAATAGTTTATACGCATTTATATATGTGAACTGATGATATGTAAGGTGGACTGTAAACCGACCAAATGATCCATAGCTAGTAGCTGTCATGCATTGTATTTGTGAATGATTTGTGAATATGACTGGTTCAAGTAAAATGTTAACTGACATTCAACGAACAGTATTCAAAATTACCACAAATAACTCGTGAAGATGTGCTGTAAATGGACCTGCATGTTCTGTGTGAAATGTGGACAATGTTTATTGGTGTAAAAAACAAATACAAATGAAATACACAATGAAAGCAATGTGATGTATGAGCCATGAGTAAGAGTCCAGAGTAGGTAATAGCAGCCATAATTTGAAAGCAGTGTTCCATGTGAATAAAATGTAAAGAATTGCCCAATGTATAAATCAAACCAGTTAGAATGACAGAAGACATGGAACAGCAATATCATTACATAACACGATTCATTTAAAAATAAAGTGTGTATTCATTTTCACAAGTTTTTTTTTAATCTGAACTATCCATAGAACTTTTCTCATCTGTCATAGTTGATCATGCAAAATGTTATAACAGATTCAAACAGGTCTGCATTTTTTAGATTGATCTGGTCTATATTAAAAGACAATGGTTCATCAAGTAATATATGGTGTGATTGTATTTGTGTCAATGGAATGTAATCGTACTATGAACTGCACATAAAAAGCTGAGATCCCACAATGTGGAAGATTATGTTAAAGTTGAAATGAGGTGAAGACATGCAGTAATGGATGCGCAATTGTGAACAGCAGGCATTCTGTGCTCGGTGTTGGGGGAAAGTACTTACGGAGGAAGTGCCCTGTGAATTGGGTGTCCCAGCAAAGCCAAGAAATGTGGCAACGGACGCACGTCGTCTGGTACCCTACGCCCATCAATTGCGTCCAATTGATGATAAAGATGCAAAAGTGACGAAATATAAACAAGTAGAGAGAAGAGTATGTGGTCAGTAAGCTTACCAGCATGCTATTCCCAAGCATTAGTAATTCACCAATAAGATGGGGCTAAATATTTCTCATGAATAAATTCAGGTCATTGAACATTCTTCAGGTTGTGATCGATAATTCATACATTTTTAGGTCAGCCTAAAAAGCTCTTATAATTATGGTTTGAATGTGAATTTAAAACCAGCAACATTTGGTCAATACCAGCATAAGAGTCAAGCAATTTAAAACACTAGATGGACAAATAGTCATGAGAAATACAAGCCTTGCCATGTTGAGCAGCAAGTGTGCATGACTACCCAATACCTTACTTCACCAATGTAGTCTGAAGCACAAGTAATCCCCCATAATTGTCATTTAAAACATGCATTGCAAGGTGTGGTTCACTAATGTATGCATTACATGTACATACAGATCAGACACTAACATGCAGATACACTAAAACTAGTATGCTCTCACTAAATAGTTCACATTACACATTTCTGTACACATCACAATGTTATTGATATACATTTTTTTGTTTTTGTTTGTAAGACATAATGTGTACATAAGCTGTGCAACATAGGAATTATGTCTGCATACATTCTCTAATACACTACTACTACTACTAATAATCATGCATTATCTCTGTGCACCATCTCTGCACCACCCTAACACAATTATTTTGAAAGATATCCAAATAAGAGACTGCAATATTTGTTTCATGACACATTATTGCTAATATTTTCCAATATGCATGGTGTTACAATAATCTATAATATATAGTCCAAAACCATGACAAAATAACTATAAACTAAAGCAGGTTTTCGTTGGCAGACAACTTAATAAACAATATGACAACAATTGTGTATGGGTAGTAAGGTGCTTCATGCAACTATAGTGAAGTGAATTTCGAGTGTCATTTTTTTCAAAGAAGAATATTTATAAGGTTGTATTTAAGTCAATATATTTCAAAAATATTCCATAATAGAACAAGATTCTTTAATTATGTGTTTTAACATTAATAAATTCAAGTTTATATCGAACTTATATGTTCCTTCAAAAACTGAAATAATTAGTTGGTTATAGGGCATTATTATTTTTTTTAAAACATTATTTTCTGGTTTGGATATTGCAGTGTAATCTTGTATGAATTCCAAAAGTGTAGTTTATGGACATTCAAAGGTTTATAATGGTTTTGTATTCATCTATTAAGTTGTATTAGAGAGCTAGAATGGAGTCGAAGTTCAGGTGAATTATTTATGTGAGTAAAAGTTAATGACAAGTTCAAGAGAATTTGTGTACATGCAGTGCAATGAGATCAATACCTCAGAATTGGGTTGGTGAGCCATAGAGATATGGAAGACTGGGGTTTTATACTGAAAAGAGGAGGCTATATGATATGAAAAACGGAATACATTCAATATTAGATCACAAAATCATGCAGCAATGACAGAACAAAGAAAAAGATTATGCATGCAGAGTATTATTTATAGAAATATTAAATATACACCACATTTTTCATGCACATTCACACTTAAAGGTTAAAATGTTTTGTATGTATTTGGGCATGCTACTGGGCTCAACATTTGTTATTAGAAGAACAGCACAGAGCACAGTTCGTTATGATAATTATATTTCATATGCATATAAGATGGCTTATTTATCACTTATTCACCTTTCCACAATGTTTTCATGCTGTTTTCTGTTCCGAATAAATTTCACACATTGGTTTTGACTTTCCAAATTGTTTTCACAAAAACTTTATCTGTTGGAATATTTACTAGCACTATGTCACTTGTCAGAGTTTTGAGGTGAGATGCATGTTATTGGTAAGAATAATGTGCATGGAACTCAGAGAAAGGTAAATTGGTGGTGTTGGTAATAAATTTGTAAGACTAGATGATTGTGTAAGATAGCTCTGCATGGTTGAGAAAAAAAGGGGTGACTGACATTGGTATTATTTGGTATTTCAAAAGGACACTAACAAATTATGGGGGGGTGCGCCCTTGTTAATCTGTTCAGGGAGAACACTGTATATAGATGAAAAATGACCATTTAACAAATTTGATTTACTTTAACAACTTAATAATTGAAGTGATGTAAGGAATCAAAGCCTTTTTCTGGATATCAATTCTCAAGCTGGTTACTTCCTCTTTATTAGACTATAATTTAATTTGAATTAAATGAACTATGCTCATTCTTCAGATGTGCGATTGCACTACACAATTTGGTCACAGACATTTTGTTTATATTTAAAATTCATGGTTAATGTCTATTTCTAAATTAACACATGTTGGTAGATTGAATAAAAGGGTAGTCTCTGCTGAAATTGTAGCTGAGAGTCAGATTATTTGAAGTTGAAAAAATGCCAATAAATGAAAATGCTAAATAATTAAATACAAGGCATAAGGCTGTGTTTGTTTTGATAGACATGCGTGGGATAAAGTAGAAATTATATGTAGTATCTAGTTGACCGGTGTATGTATAGTTTACTATACTTGTAGAAAGGGTAAAGGATATCATCTCCTTCCTCGCAAATAATGTAGATTTCCAACTTGAAGCACAAAGAGTTAGGAACAGTGTGGTGGAATAAATGTATAGAGAAGGTTTGCATTAGATTATGTTTATTTAAATTTACAAGCTTACCTTACTTCCTGCCAAGGACATTGACCTCTTGCTGAGTCGGCTATCATCTATTATGAATAAACAGCAAACAGCTATTAGTTATTGAATAAAAACAAAACAAAATGGCTTTAAAAAGTTACCATAGAGGGCGCTGTACCCACATAGTCATTGCAAAGTTTCATAAATGTTGCCATAGATGGCGCTAAGCAACTGATAATAAACTGAATTCATGATCCTAAAAAAAGATAAATTGAATGCATTACTGCCAAGTAAGTGAATGTGAGGAAGGATTATGACTATTTAACCTTGAGGCACAAGGGATATTGATTTGAAAACCACAATGTGCTTGCTATATGGAAAATTGAATATAAATTAAGCAAACAAGACAAGTGAGTATAGAATTGTTAAGCACTCAAAACATACTACTGACCTGAACATGGGTCTATAAAAATCACAAAATGCATGAAAAGTAATGTGTTTAAAAAGACATTAATTAAGTATCATAATTCATGTTAATTATGGAATGAGTAAGGCAACATGAAAATGAGCACAGGGTGTGAAGGAGGGAGGTTAATTTTATACAGCCTGAGTGAGCAAGGTACAGTCTTACAGGTGAGCATCAACTCAATCAAACCAGTAGTTATTAAAAAGTCAAACATTGATTTTTTTACCAAATAGGAAAAAAAAATTGATAAAATTAGAGAATTCAAAATATCTTCACTAAATGTCTAAATCTATTAGAGGAGCACCTATAATCAGATAAAAGTTTTCAAGAAAAAGTCAAAAATATTTACCAAAAATTGCATTTTTAATT